TTTGTCCTTTGGATACAAGTTTTACATTTTGATGTTGAATTTATCTATTTTTTGCTTTGGTTGCATGTGCTTTTGGTGTCATCAAAAAAAATTTCAAAATCCAATGTCATGTAGATTTTATGTTTTCTTCTAAGAGTTTTATAGTTTAGATCTTTGATTCATTTTGAATTACTTTTTGTGTATGGTATAATGTAAAGATGCAACTTCATTTTTTGCATGTGGATATCTAGTTTTCCCATAACAATTTAAGAAAATTGTCTTCACATTGAATGGTCTCAGCACCCTTGTTGAAAGTCATTTGACTGCATTCACAAGGGCTCTCTATTCCATTGGCCTATGTGTCTTCATGTCAGTACTACACTGACTCTAATCAGTGATTACAGCAGTCCCCCCTTATTCAGCAGGGGATACTTTCCAAGACCACCAGTGGATGCCTGAAACCACAGATGGTATTGAACCCTATTCTGTATATACTAGGTACACACATGTCTGTTTTGAGGGTACTTCGAAAAGGTTCATGGGAAATAGAATTAAAAAATAATATGAATCTTTCTATGAACTTTTTCAGGTACCCTCCTAAATTAGGCACAGTAAGAGATTAACAACAATAATGAGTAAAATAGAACAATTATGTCTATACAGTAATAAACTATACTGTAATAAAAGTTATGGTAATAAAAGTTATGTGAATGTGATCTCTCTCTTTCAAACTCACCTGTTTTTGGACCGTAATTGACTGCGGGTAACTGAAACTTTGGAAAGGAAAACCAGGTTAAGGGGAGGAAGGACTATTGTAGCTTTGCAGGAAGTTTTGAAATCAGGAGTCTTCAAACTTTTTTGTGTGTGTGTGTCTTTTTCCATGTCCGGCAACGGATCGCAACCCTCAGTGTCGCCCCCGTACAACTTTTTTTTGTGTGTGTGTCTTTTTCCGTGTCCGGCAACGGATCGCAACCCTCAGTGTCGCCCCCGTACCGGACCGGGACCGGCAACGGGATCGCAACCCTCGGTGTTGCTCCCGTGCCTCGCTCAGCCAGTGAGCAGGAACCGGTCTGTATGTGGGATCCGAACCCTTGGGCTGGAGCGCCGCCGCGCTTCCCAAGCGGCGCACTATCCAGTGCGCCACCAGGCCGGCCCCAGGAGTCTTCCAACTTTGTTCCTTTTTTCTCCAAGATTGTTTCAGCTTTTTGGGGGGTCCCTTGAGAGTCTGTATGACTTTTAGGATGGCTTTTTCTATTTCTGCAAAAAACAATGTGGGGATTTTCATATGGATTACATTAAATCTGTAGATTGCTTTGGGTAGTATGGACACCTTAACAATATTAAGTAGGTATCCTTTGTAATAATCTTTATAATAAACTGGTAAGCATAAAAATTTTTTTTAAGTATACAGGATGTCTTTTTATTTGTTTTTTTTTTTAAAGATGACCGGTAAGGGGATCTTAACCCTTGACTTGGTGTTGTCAGCACCACGCTCACCCAGTGAACAACCGGCCATCCCTATATGGGATCCGAACCTGTGGCCTTGGTGTTATCAGCACCACACTCTCCCGAGTGAGCCACGGGCCGGCCCATGTCTTTTTATTTGTATCTTAAATTTCTCTCAGCAGTATTTTATGCACTTAAGTGTGTGTCTTCATGTTCTTGGTTAAGTATATTCCTAAGTATTCTTTTTGATGCTATTGTAAATAAAATTGTTTTCTTAATTTCCTTTCTTATTGTTAAGTACAGAAACACCTGGTTTTTTGTGTTGATTTATGTATACCACAACTTTTCTGAATTTGTTTATTCTGATGATTTTTTTTGTGTGTGTGGAAAATTTAGTGTTTTCCACATATAAGATTATGCCATCTGCTAACATAATTTTACTTCTTCCTTTCCTTTTTGGATGCTTTTTATTTTTCTTGCCTATTTGCTCTGGCTATCAACTTCCAGTACTTTGTTGAATAGAAGTGGCAAGAGTGGGTGGGTTTCCTTGCTTTGTTCCTGATCTTAGAGGAAAAGCTTTCAGTTTTTCACCACTGAGTATGATGTTAGCTGGGTGCTTGTCATACGACCTTTATTATTTGTGGCACATTCCTTTTATCCTAGTTTGTGTGTTTTTATCATGAAAGGGTGTTGAATTTTGTCAGATGCTTTTTCTGCATCTATTGGGAATGATCCATGTGGTTTTTATCCTTTTTTCTGTTAACATGGTATCTCATTTATTGATTAATGTATGTTGAACCATCTTTGCATTTCATGGATACATCCCACTTGATCATGGTGTATGATCCTTTTTATTGGGCTGTTGAATTTGGTTTGCTTATTTTGATTTTTTTTTTTTTTTTTTTGGGGGCTGTCCAATATGGGGATCTGAACCCTTGACCTTGGTGTTACAAGGCCGTGCTCTAAACAACTGAGGTATCCAACCAGCCTCTTTGTTGAGAATTTTTGCATCAGTATTCATCAGTGATATTGGCCTATAGTTTTTGTGTCTTTGGAGCCCAGGCAGTCTGAACCAGGTTTCTCCCGGTGCTAAGTGTGAGTGGTCAGAGCATCAGGTCCACTAGTAGGAGTGGACCTCAGTTGATCTCAAGTGTGGTGAGTAACTAACTGTTGAGAGAATGTTTGTCATTAACTTAGCCATTGTGTTTCTCTCCACAGAATTTCTTTGGATTGATTTTCATAGAAGTTTGTCACTGACCTGTGTTCCTGAACTATGAAAATGAATATGTGGGCTAAGGGATAGTTTCTCTTAATAAATAAACAATTAACAAATACTGTGGACAGTGTCTTTGTGCAGTTCTTATTGCTAATTCAGGGAACTTAATAGCATCAGAAGCGGTTGGGGATTTTTAATTATATTTATGAACTTTATAAAGTTAACTTGATTTCATTATTTCTTAAAAACTTCATTGTTTACATACATCTTTAGTTGCTATGATATTTTGTCCATTTCACTGAGATACTCCTAGGTGCAGTTACTTGGTGCTGAGCCATGGGTTGAAGGGGTCTCTGAGCCATGAGAGTCTGCTGTACTGTGGGCTTTAAAAAGGGACAGAGACAGTTTTTCCAGTAAAATCTGTCCTTGGCCTTCATTGCCACTACCTGGTAGCCCTACTACCACCAGACAAGAATTCAGTCAATAACACTGAATTATTTTGGTAATTGAAATGTAAGGTTCCTTACTCAGTATTGCTTTATTAAAGAAAGATCTTAACTGTGTTTGTATATATAGAGTGTGTGTGTGTGGGTGGGTGGGTGTGTTGTGGAATATATATCTAAGCCAGAAAAGTCATTTAACTTACTTAGCTAGAATTGAGTGAGTAGTGCCTGCTAATGACTAATAGTGTTTGGTAACTTTTTGGAGTTAGTTTTAGGACCTTCCCTTTCTCTTTTAAGTTTTTCTTGTGATCAAAGTGATACTACAGAGAACTTTTTTTCTTGATCATCCCTAATCTGAAATGTTACATTTGTTTTATCCAAAGCTAGTTAAATCACTAATTGTCACTTTATTAAGATAACAAAAACTATCATCTTGTGCAAAATTCCAGTGCTGTGAGCTGTATTAAATCCAGGTATCAGTGAAAAACTGATTGCAAGAATCCCTGGTAACAGTAGACATTTACGGATAGTCAATAATAAAAGGGTACTTTTAATTTTAAACAATTTTATATAACAATTCTTAGAAGCAGTATACAAAATTACCATAAAAGATATAAGAATTAACACATAATTACGTTCTTAAAAATAGTTACTTTTGACGTTGACAACACTGTCACTTTCCTAAATGAGTATTACACAACAGTCACTGGTGGTGGTGGGCGGGCATTTTTCAGATTCAGCTTGAAGTGATAGTCTTGCTTTCCAGTAATAGTAGTGATGACTCATGTGAAAGTTAAAGAAAGATCAGTGGGCATTTGAAATTGCATTTTCTTAGCATCTCACAATTGTAGATAACAAGTTGTAGGCCCAGGTTTGGATTTAGTCAGTAAATATGTTTTAATTTAATTGGACAGAGCTGTTTGCTGGACATCTGGTGACCTGAGGTCTTGAGTCAAAGGGAATTCCCAGTAAGTGTGTTTTATTTATGGAACTAAAGAAAGAAACTCACCTGAGTAGCTTGGGTCTGGTTTTCATTGGTAGACACAAAAGAGATTTGCTTTAAGGTTGCCTAGTAAGATAGAAACTGTAAAAAATTTTTCCAAGGGCCGGCCCAGTGGCGCACTGGATAAGTGCGCCGCTTGGGAAGCGCGGCGGCGCTCCCGCCCGAGGGTTTGGATCCCACATGCAGACCGGTTCCCGCTCACTGGCTGAGCAAGGCGCGGGAGCGACGCCGAGGGTTGCAATTCCGTTGCCGGTCCCCGGTCCGGTGCGGGGGCAACACTGAGGGTTGCGATCCGTTGCTGGACACGGAAAAAGACAAAAAAAAAAAAATTTTTTTTCCAAAATGCATCTGGACAATCAGACTGTTTTGTAAATTTCGTTTAAAGTGCATACTTTCGAGGGGACATACGTAGCAACTTTCACTAAAAGAATAGAAATTGCAGTAAAGTGACAAATATAACAAGTTAAACAGTCTTAAGCATTTTTCATTTAAAGAATCCAAGCCTTTGTAGACAAGGGGGGTGGGGGGGGGTGGGGGCGTTATTAGGCAGCCCTGAAACAGATGTAACTGGGAAACTTTAAGTCTGGCTCTCCATCCTAAGGCCTAACCACATGTTAATAGATCCAAATTATAGTGGAAATTTTTGCAGATGTTATTATAGAGCAAAAAGGAATGGCTTTTCTGTGTGGTAAGAATAATACCATACAGGATTCTGTTAATCATTGTCTCCCAAGTGGGAAAAGAACACATTCTTGTCACTGCATTTTGAAGTACGTGTTTTAGGGAGAAGGTAAGAATCTGATCTGATTCTAGAAGTGGCTAGAAAATTATAACTATAGAAAAGTGTTGGACTGTGTCCATGTTGGATGTTAGAGCTAACTAGGTTTCTTTTTTCAAAAATAAATAACGCAAGTAGGAATCAATACCTCGGAAGGGGACTCAAGGGAACCCTTTCCTCAGGGCTTTATTTTTCACCATGGTAAATTTACTAATAAAGACCTGAGCAAAATGTGGGTCAACCAAATAATGGTATGTTTTAACAGTGGAGGGGGGAGGTTCCACAGCCACCACAGGACATGGAGTTTGCATGGAAGAGCAGATGGGGGCCAGGTGACAAGATGTCTTTGTGATGTAGTCCACCAGTCTGCTGTACTGTTGCTCTGACAACCTCTCTCGAACTCCATCCACCTGGAATCCAAAAATAAAAAATAGTCAGTAGTCAAACCCTTACAAGATTTCTGTAACAAAATTATTCCTTCTCTTTTGCCTTGATTGCATTTGTACATTATGCTATTTAGGTCATTTAATAAAGCCATTATATCGAAAACAAACAGCGCTTCCTTTTATTTTTCTTCTGAAATGTGGCAATGATAACACTGCAGTTAACACTGTAACAAAATCTCTGCACAAGAATATCAGGACAACCTCCTTTGAATAAGCATTTGGTGGTGTAAAATTCCCATGTATGAAGTTGAAGATTTGATAACACTATATTCATTAACTATTAAAACACTTGTTTTAATAGTTGCTCTTTACCAACTAGCCCAGGGACAAAGGAGAAAAATGTCTTTCCTCTGCTTAAATCTAATCAACATTAAACTCAGCACCTGGAAATAGAAGCTCTGCTGGCCTTGCTCCCCAAACCTCCTCAGATAGAACCTCTTCAGTCTGACAAAGTAAAGAACACCTCTTTCAAACCAGTGGCTTTGGACAGAGCATTAAAAAAATAAATACCTTTTGAACTGTAACATTTTCTGTTTTTATAAATACTAGGATTTAAAGCCAGAGAAAATAGAAAAACTGGGCAGAGGAAGAGGAAATTTTTATGGAAAAAAGGGAGGTTGCAAAGTACATTTACGGGTCATAAAAGTCTGGCTCATCTTCAGTGGAACTCAAATAGGAGAACTGAGATATACTACCTAAGTTCTTAAGTGAGATTTTCTAAGAAAGCACCCATCAAAGGCTGTTGGAGCTATAAATTCTTCCCACCCTGAAGTCCTGTCGCTATCTAGTGTGTAGATCAAGCCGAGTGGGATGTTTGCAGTGTAAGCCACTGATCTGTGAGAATCAGGTAGCCACTGACCTTTCAGTGGTTTTTACTTACCAAGTGCTGGCAAGACCATTCTGGAAGGATTATAAACATTTTTAAAAGGGCTTTTTGGTTCTTAAAGCAGTAATGTAAGGAATTTCTACATATTTCTGTATAGGTCTCAGAAACTGCAGCCTAAAAGTGTCTTAAAAGCTAGAGAAAGCCAGTGAGATGGTGAAGAGATAGTAAAGGGGCCTGCTAGAGGATTAAATGGGGCATCCCTTAGAGTCTGAGTATCATGTTTTTAAGCTTGGGGAAAAAAGCCCCCCAAAGATTCACTGACAGATGAAAGCTGTGCACCACCAGGCAAAAGCCAGAACTCTGATATCATTTGATGGGGCCAGAATTCAGCTGGAAAGCCTTGAATACACAAAGTCTTAATTGCTCCTCCTGAACAGCAGCACAGGAAAACCTGTGTTGTGAAAGGAACCCGGCCAAGGAATAAATTGACCTTCTGACTCATTTTGGGCCTCATAAGGGATTTCAATAATGTGCCAGGCATATTAAACAATTATTACCCCTAAAAATGGCTGCATTTAACCAAGAAAAGCCAATCCTGATTTTAAAAAACCCTGAATTTTGCCATATTTAAATATACTGAATGATGTCATTTACAAATTAATTCCTTCCAAAATTCAAAGGAGCTGTGTTTCCTAGCATCTAAAGCAAAAGCAATAAACCAGACAAGCCATTTTATGTAAAGATCTTAAACTACAGCTCTTAGTTTTTGCTGGAAATTTTCACAGCAGGTAGGCTTCCTACCCAAGCGTTTTTGCTGTGGATTATGTTGGGATGAACTGACACGAGCAGAGCAACTGAAGAAAATTCACTGTGTCAAAGCAGTGCCACTGAAACCAGCACCCCTCCACGCTGAAAATATACTGGATTACTACACGCCGAAGGATTTACTCTCACACAAAAATGGTCTGCAGATTGGGTTTTCTTTGGGGTGAGTAGGGGAGGTTAGGGTTATGGACACAGGATTAACGGGGTAGTTCTTGTTTCTTATGAGTTGAAGGAAGAGGTAAAGTGGAGTAGATGCCAAGAAAGCAGAAAGTGGAGGCTGAAGGCACACTGGATACACACCCTCTGTCCTGTGCTAGGTGCTGCTGTGTGAGCGCAGTGCTTGTCTTTAATGACTGCACTGCTCCTGCTCTCAGTCATCTTTTCCCACCTCTGTTTTGGTCATTCCTTAATCCCAGCCCTCTTTTATCCCTGGACACCAGTGGAAACCCAGTGTTGAGCATGGTGTTCAGAGCTTCAGTACTTCTGCCTATAACTTTGATTTCATGGTATCAATTATCTTTGGCAACTACTAGGGGTGCTGACTCCAGCTATCATCTCAATAACCCTCCCTCCAGCTATAATTCCCCACAGTACCGTCCTCAAACAGAAAAGCAAAAGAAGGATCATAATTACAGACAGTAGAGACAGTTTAACAGCAAAAGATGAATCTCCAGTCTCAATAGTTTAAGATCTGAAATACTTCCCAAGCAGCTAAGGAATAACGATGGTCACAGATACTCTTTGGGGCCTTGGAGGTTTCTCGTTAAGGACTAAGGACTTGAAGATAATGATACTATCTTCTGCCAAATCCTGTAGCCAGATCACCGCTGCTTTATTGTCAACTGGATCAGAAGATTTTGGCAGATCTAATAAAGTCAGCTTAGACATCTGACCTCTGTTTATTCCCAGAAAGTCATCAACTGGGAGCAGCAATGTAGTCCTGATGCCAAGCCCCAGCTTAAAGCCTGACTGATTATGATCCAAGAAACTAGAGAAATCTTAGAGTTGTTGTGGTTGGCTGCTTTCCATCTTCTCAGATAATTTTACCCAAACACTTGTGTGAGGGAGACACAGGCTCCCATACCAGGAAGACAATAATGGAAGAAGGAATCAGGCAAGACCTGCTGGAGGCAGGTTTGCTGTCATCCTTAGCTGGAGCCACTCGGTCCCCAGGTTAGGACCAGCAGGCTCCAGCTTGCCACTGACCCACCCCCATCTTGCCATGTGGAAAAAATGTCTGTTTCTTAGGTCAACAACTAGGGCCCCATGGGTCAGGCCATCACCTGGGAAGTAGAGGCAGAGAGCAGTTTCTCCAGTGAGTGCATGTGCTTACCCTGGGCTGGACTGCAGGAAGCTGGGGCCATTCTGGTCAGTGCTCACCTCTGACCCCTGACACCCAATGAGGCCTACCTGAGCATCCGTCTATTCCACATCAGCTTATGTTTGCCAGGAGTCAGCAGCTAGCGCATCTCAGGAGTTCGGGTTAGGGAGCTGCCCCAAGAACCTAAGCGTCATCCCCAGGAAGTACCTGTGGTGCTTATGGGATGGGAAACTATCCCGCGGAAAAGGGAACACAAAGCTGCAGAAAACAACGCAGTGTATAGGAGAGAGAGATCTATTCACAAAATTTTGACCCCCTGAAGTCTCTGGGGTTGGGAGTGGGGGAGGGAGCCAAGGGAGGAAGCTAAAGCCCCTGGTTTATAAGTTTGCAAAGGCCTGGTCTCCTTCCTGTGTCTTGTTTCACTCATCATGCCCATCACTTCTGCAGCAGTCCTCTCCTGCACCCAGAGAACTGATGCTGCCACTCCTGGGCCGCATGCACACTTGGGGCTGGCCTGAGTTCAGATGTTCAGACCAGGGGGACTCCTTTGCGGAATAGTTGCCTGGAATTGCTGCCTGGATCCTGGCCCTTTCTGTACCAGCCCCACTCATTTTGGAGCTTTATTGTTTGCTCCTGTTCACTTCAGCACCCCACTCCTACAACAGCCAAGCTAGATTAGCCTTGCTCAAATCACATGATGGCTTAGCCCCAGCCCTTAAGTCCCTTTGGCTGCCTGCTGGGCTCTCCTGTGAGGGCTCACGTGGGCAGGGGCTTCCCAGGACCCTTCTGCAAATGGCCCCGTCACCTCCACACTCCTGCGTCTGTCTAGCAGCTCTCCTTTCTCCAGCAGCTACTCCAGAAGCTACAGCTCATAAGTGCCTGGGTACCAGCAGTCAGCCTGCATCTCAACCTGCCTGGCAACTAGCCCCAGTCACCTTGTTTTCTGAAACGTACCTCCACATCACAGGCCACTCTTGGCTGCTTGAGCTGCACGGTGAGCAGGTTGTTTTGCTTGCTGTCCTGTGCACAGTCGATCTCTGTGATGGGGAAGGCCTGCTGCTGTGTGTCCTCGCTGACACTCACCATGAAGAGCACTTCTGATGTCAGCAACAAGCACCCTTCATGCTCTTGGCCTGAGCCCCTCACCAGAACCACATCCAAGGTCATGTGGACTTCTGGTCTGCCCAGAGACTGAAGCATTTTCCTGTTTAAAAAGAGAAAAGTGAGGCCAGGAGCCAGCTATGGAAAGATGGTCACTTATCATTGTTCACTGCTTAACGAGGCTTGGGGCTCCACAAAGCACCCCAAGGGCGAAGGGCCCTCACCAATCAAATTATTAACTTTAGCTTGAAACGTTAACTGTCAATTTAATTCTCAAATTGATTCTGATCAATAGAACCTGGCGCCTCCTGGCGACAAAGGTTTCCCTTGGCTCTGCTCAGCTCCTTTTCGTCCCATTAGAAATGGCACCCTTTAGAATTAGAATTTAGAATTAGGGGCTGGCCCGGTGGCGCACTGCTACAGTGCGCTGCTTGGGAGCTCAGTGGCGCTCCCGCCGAGGGTTCGGATCCCACATACAGACCGGCTGCTCACTGGCTGAGCGAGGTGTGGGCGCAACACCGAGGGTTGCGATCCCGTTGCCGGTCCTGGTCCGGTACGGGTGCAACACTGAGGGTTGCGATCCGTTGCTGGTCACAAAAAAAGACAAAAAGGGGGGGAAAAAAAAAAGAATTTAGAATTAATGGGACCCATTGCATCCTCTCCTTGAGTAGCAGGCGTGGAGCAGAAGAGCTCTGCAACCAGCCCACCGCCTGGGAACAGCAGCTTCTTCCTGGCCTGGGTTTCCTTGTGCTGCCCAAGGGGGGAAAAAAAAGAATTTAGAATTAATGGGACCCATTGCATCCTCTCCTTGAGTAGCAGGCGTGGAGCAGAAGAGCTCTGCCACCAGCCCACCGCCTGGGAACAGCAGCTTCTTCCTGGCCTGGGTTTCCTTGTGCTGCCCAAGATGCCAGTGCCAAAAGCAGCTGCTCCTCCTGGGCTTCCCTGCAAGCCTGGCCTATTAGCTTGAGAGCAAGCCAGGGGCTATTAACATACAATGTGGATGTAAAGTTGAGCAAGTGTCTCAATGTTTTTACCAGACATATTTGACATGGCTATTTGGAGCCTGGTCAGCATGTAGATCACTTGGCTGATAGCGCTGTTTGGGAAGCTGAGAAAGTCCAGCTCCATGTAAAATACCTGTGGTAAGAGAAGTAAAGGAATTTTACTAGTTGTTTTCTGGAAAACAGTTCCATGCTACAGTGATGTAATCTGCTTAAAGCCATCCATAAAATATTACAGATCCAAAATGATGTCACATCTTTGGAAGGAAGTGTATAGATAATTATTAAACATTATAATGCTCTTAACCTTGGTGATCTTATGTTAACTACAAATTAAAATATGAATGTACTAGTCCAAGCACAGACTAGAAGAAGCATAATGCTTCTGAGAGTAACTGGTCATGAACAATAGATCACACATTGCTAGGTCAAGATTGCTAGGTGACTTCCTTGCTTAATATTAACAATACTTCTGTATCAGTGCTATGGCTAGTCGAAAAACTAAAAACACGCACTCACACACATTCAAAGGCAAACCATTTGCCTAGATACAGTATTTAAATTAAATGACTTAATCCAGCTGTTAAACACGAATCCATATACATTTATGAGCGCTCTCGGGACCGCTGGTTTATTACATGCACTCCCTGGTGCCAGCACCAAGTGAGGGCACCCAGCAGCAGCCACACAGGCCTCTACAGAAACTCTCCAGAACCAAAGATGGTACAGCATGTGTGCTTTCTGAAGGCTTGTAAATGTTTATAAACGAGGCATAGTCATTAGACTAAGAGTTAGTGGTTTGTAAAACCTTCAGTGCGGTAATAAAAGTTTTACAAGAGTGATGGAAACCAAAAAGGCCTGTGAAGCTCTATTCTGAGATGCTCTTACATAAGGGAGAGCACCCTAGCTCTGGGAAACACACAGGGACAATGGCATTTTCAAAATTAAAAGAATTTATGAAGAATGAGTTAACTTTACCTCACTGGAGTCTATATCAAAAGGAATACTGTTTTCTATTAATGTGTAATGTGTAAGTATTTGATAAGGGAGAGTTTAACTTTTTCTACTTATAAATTACAATTCTCATTGTCAGTATCCCTGTGAGTGAAAATGCCATCTACAGAAGGAGAGGGGAATAAGAGGGAAGCAGGGAGGGGAAAAGCAAAGAGGAACACATGCTGGCGTCTGTGTGGTCTCTTAAAGGATGCTCTCCGGATGGCTGTCTGAAGTGCGGGCATTCGTCTCCCACCCCCTTCCTTTCAGACACTGTTTTTATGCCCTGATTTGGCTGCCTCTTGTCAGACCTACTAAGGTGCAGGACGCCTGCAGTGAAACGTATTCCATAGACTCTACTGCCAGATGTGGATGCAGACTCAGAGTACTTAGTGTCTGACAAGCGGGAGAGCCATCCTGCGGTTTGTGATACTAGGTAGGCAGCTTGCTTCTACTGATTTTAGGTTAAAAGGTTATAATTCCAGTCAGATGTTTATTGAAAGTTACTTTAATGTGCTCTGCCAAGAATGCAGAAAATAAGCATGGGAGGAGGTGCTTCCTTTCACACCATTTCTCGTGTGCACACACATGCATGGGAGAGGCCTGAGCATTTCACCATCCAAGTGCAAGTAGTGCCACGAGCCCAAGTTCTCCACAGACGTCGACTTGGGGAAAGGGTTGTTCGTCGCATGTGCCTTGCTTCCACGTTTATTATCTTCATCAAAACACAATGTTCACGAGCTGGCCTGTGGCTCACTCGGTAGAGTGCGGTGCTGATAACACCAAGGCCACGGGTTCGGATCCCATATAGGGATGGCCGGTTCGCTCACTACCTGAGCGTGGTGCTGACAACACCAAGTCAAAGGTTAAGATCCCCTTACCGGTCATCTTTAAAAAAAAAAAAAAAACACAATGTTCACGCTGGGTTTGGTTCACACAGTCAGGAGCTGTGAAGTTTAGTTTTTTACAACGGGGCAACCATTTCCTACAGAATTTAATAAAAATGTCAGACCATTCCAAAGTGTCGCCCATATGCCTTTCCCCAGAAATCAGTCAACACAGTTTAGGAAGAAGAGCTAACGATTCTTCAGGCAGAGAGCGAGCCTACTCAGCCTAATATACTTTCGCCGAATCAGGAGGATGAAAAAAATGGGAAGGGGCCAGCCACTTTCTATGTTCCCACTTTTAATAACAACAACAATTATTTAATAATAATTTAATATTACAAATATAGTACTTTAATAATTATTTAATAAGAGTATGATATAGTAATATTTCTATTAATTACTAGGTGCTGGGGACTGTGCTAAGAGCTTCATCTGTATGAGATCATTTCATCCTCATAATTCTAGGAGTCAAACATCGTTTTCATCCGGATATGGACACTGAGGCACAGAAAGATTAAGGAGTTTTTCCCAGGGTCACACAGCTGTTAAGAGGTTGAGCCCAGATTTGAATCCAGGGAGTATGAGTCACAGCCTAGCTCTTAACCACCAAGCTATTCACTTCTCTTGTTTATAAAACAGGCTCTTCCCGAGGCACAGAAAGATTAAGGAGTTTTTCCCAGGGTCACACAGCTGTTAAGAGGTTGAGCCCAGATTTGAATCCAGGGAGTATGATTCACAGCCTAGCTCTTAACCACCAAGCTATTCACTTCTCTTGTTTATAAAACAGGCTCTTCCTCTTTGCCAATCTTGAAAAACTTCCTTCCCTCATTTCAACTGAGAGTTGGCCACTGACTCTTCACTTTAGAACAGCTACACAAACCCTGCTTCACGACTCTGTTCTAACAGCTTTACAATGGGGCAACCATTTCCTACACTGAGTTTGAAGGTGGTTGCAAATGAAAGGAATCCTTCGGCCACTCTTGCGAATGCATCTTGCTCTATGAGATCTAGGAAAGCCTCACCAGTCTTGATATTTTTTTTCATGATGGAGTGGAGGGTTCCCTAACTCAGTAAGAAGCAAAAATTTCCTCACAATTCTTGACAGAATTCTGTTATCAACTCATACCTGCTAGGAGTAAAGAAAATGCACAGTCCCCCTGGTAGAAATTTTAGTACATGTCAAATCCCATTGCTCCAAGTGCCACTAATTCAAAGTCTCTTGGGTAAATAGATATTTCCAGGTCTCAGTTAATGACCTGCTAACTTCAAGAAATATTCCATTGAACAAAATCCAGTAAAACAAAAGGCCAGTTCCTTCAGGTCAGTTGGAAAAGGGAATGTTCTTCATGGATTCCATTCCTGTAGGTTTTGACGTAGCCATTTAAGTTTATGCACTGACAGATTAAGAATGACCTTAGGTGACAGGTCTGCTTCCCGGCCTAGAGTAGTGCTGCCCAAACCTCTAAAGAAATGACAAGGATAAGCCAAGGAAGCTGCTCCCCACCTCCCCACTGGCTAAGGCCACCCTGGCTATCAAGGGCTGAGGGATCGATCCTTCAGCACCCCAGCCAGCCAGTCCTGAGGAACCAGATGCCTTGCTCTTCATCTATAAGACTAGGAGCGGAGTAGCCCTGGGTCTTCTCTTCCAATCATTTCCCAGACAATAGTTCAAAGTGAACAGCATCAAATACAGCATTTCCTTTTTTTAAAAAAAACTTATTTGTACATATTTGTGGAGTTCACTGTGTTGTTTCAATACATACATATACTGTACATTGATTCACTTAGGGCAGAGGGCATAGCTTTGTACCTGTTAACCCACCACTTCTCCTACTGCCCATTCCTCCCCTGCATCCCAAGCCTCTGGTAACCATTATTCTACTCTCTACTTCTATGTGAACCACTTTTCTTTTTTTAACTTCCACATATGAGTGAGATCATTAGACTACAGCTTTTGTGGTTTCATTATCTGATTTCTTTGAAAGATCTCCATGCTTAAGAGTTGAAAAACTGGGGTAAGTACAAATTCACCAATAAATTAAATTATTGCCTGTATTTCTGGTAGAAATGTCTTTTCCCTAAGTGCAGCTTTCCATTAAGACTATTAAAATTGAGTTGGGGGACAGGTGGTTACTTCATTTAGAATCTCCCATTTCCCTTTCATGTGCCAGCCCTAACCCGTACAAGGAACATAGAGCCTTGACCAGCTGTGATCGTCCACAAAGGGTGCCAGCTTCTATGTGCTTAAGTGCAAACAGGTATCACAGTGGAACTCTCCTTTGATCTTCCGATTTCTCTAGCCACTGGCCACAGTGAAGGCTCCAGTTACTGTGGCTTTGATAGATAGACTATTTGGGAGCCTGAAAAGTGTAAAGCCCGAGCCCCATGACAAGGTGTTAGATTCTAAGAGTTAGAGAAGGAGCTGTCAGATCACATGCCCTCAGCTCAGCACCAGATCCTTGAGGGGGGGAAAGCTGGCTTGTCACACACATCGACACCTCACTGGTCCCCAGGTGCTGCTGTCTCCCTCTTTGTGCTAAAGAGCTGGAGAACAGAGAGGCCATAAGAGACTAGCAGCCATTTCATGGTCTCTGTGACCCTGCCTTGAGAGATGCAGCTTCTCATAGGGCTTTTGAAGGCTCTCTTATTAAGTATAATCCAGCTAAATCCTAAGACTGTAAAATTATTTACTGTCATATACTCAAACTCTGCTCCAAAGCTTTAAGAAGTGGAAATTGATCCCAAGACTTGTCTGTTGGCGACAGGCCCACAGGGTGGGCGGCCACATGGAGACGGCTGTGATGTGATGAAGGGAGGCAAGGAAGGAAAGAGCGTGCTGGGAGGGGAGATTCCACGGACCTATGTGCTGGGCCAGGCAGGACGTGGGGGGCTGTTTCCTTTTGTGCCTTTAGTTGTAGGAGGAGGAATTTCTTTGTGAAGCAAGGGAACTACAAGGGCCTTCCCTCACCTCCGCTGCGACTAGCTCTCTGCCTCAGGCAAAAACCACTTGGTTACTGATCTATGAAAGGACCTGCCTATGTGGCTATTTTGATGCTGCCCTTACCACGTGGTATAATTTTATTTGGGGCACTTTTTTGTTACAGTAGCAGAGGCACAGGCCTAAGCTGGTACACCACGCTACAGCTCACCATTCCAGAGACAAATGAACCCCAGAGTATATTAGACATTCTAGCCAGAGGCTAGCTTTTTTTTGACCAGAACAGATTAGTAAACTGAGAAGGAAGCACTTTGGTCCGTAATTCCTAAATTCCCG